CCAAACCAATTCCCAGCTCACGTCTCATCCCAGCAGATGTGGGACTCACCCTGCAAGCCACAGTTCCTGAAGATGATGTCATCAAGTGCCAGCTCTGCCCCACACATGGGTGGTTGTGTCAGGGAGAAGATGAGCTGCCGATGGGAGGATGGGGATGGCACAAGCAGAGCATCAGCCTGAGCTGCCCAGGTGTCCTCAGCTGCCAGGGCATCACCCGGCTCCGCCAGCCCAGCCCCCAGGGCCGGACACTGCCCTGTCTCACCTGGAACTCCCCCGTTACTCGGCCTGGGTACGCAATCAGCTGGTGCCAGCCCTCGCCTCCATGCCCTGGGCTCTGCCACAGCTCCACCACCTCGTCCCCGTGTGCCATGGCCAGGCGCAGCACCGGCCGCTCTGTCTGGTCGAGCACTGTGGGGATGCCCAGGATGTGGTCGTGGGCATCCTGGGGTACCCCTGGGGACAAACAGCCCTGCCAGCTCTGGGGACCATATCTGGGACCCCTACATCCTGTCAGCTCTGCTTGTGGAGCATAGAGATGAGCAGGAAGGCAAGGACCCATCTCGAGGTGCTGGGGGCTCTGTCCCTGCCATGGGGGCAGATAGCCCCATCCCTCCCCACTGCCCCCATCATAGCTTCCCTGTGCCTGGTGCACTGAGACCTGGCTGTGTCCACCAAGGAGCCCTCACCGTTGCCTGAGATGTGGTACCAGGCCCTGATCTCGCACGTGACGGCTGCTTCCCGCATCACGGGTGACCTGAGCCAGGCAGTGGCTGTGGTCTTTGCCGGGGGGGACACAGTCAACATGAACCACCCTGGGGACGGCAGAGTGCAGAGCAGCGGCTGTAGCCCCATGGGATGGCACCGGAGCTGTGGCTGGCGCTGCTCCTGCCCACCATGGGTCTACTGCAACCCCTGTACCCTACAGGGATGGGTGTCCCGACACCCCTGGCTTCAGGACACCCATGGCCCTGTGGTGCGGTGCTGTGAGTGCCTGGAGCCCGCTCAGCACCCAAGCAGCTCCTGCTTACCCAGGTCGGTGCCCAGGGTGTGATCCGAGTGAGGCCCCGTGCCCCACGCGGCCAGGCTGGCGTGGTTCCGCACCCATCTGTACGCTGAGGTGCTCACATCCTGCCAGCCACAGGCGCTGTCCTCGAAGTCACAGGTAAAGGAGGTGCCCAGCACCGCTGAGCCATGCAGGTACCCTGGGGCATGCAGATGGGGCGTCAGGGCAGCGCTGGGGCCATCTCGGGTCCTGCACCCACCCCATGGACCTGCACCCCCCCCATGGACCTGAATCCACCCCATGGACCTGCACCCACCCCATGGACCTGCACCCCCCCCCATGGACCTGAATCCACCCCATGGACCTGAATCCACCCCATGGACCTGCACCCACCCCATGCACCCTGAATCCACCCTGCGGTCCTGCACCCCCCCCATGGACCTGAATCCACCCCATGGACCTGCACCCACCCCATGGACCTGAATCCACCCCGCGGTCCTGCACCCACCCCATGGACCTGAATCCACCCCATGGACCTGAATCCACCCCACGGACCTGCACCCACCCCATGCACCTGAATCCACCCCGCGGTCCTGCACCCACCCCATGGACCTGAATCCACCCCATGGACCTGAATCCACCCCGCGGTCCTGCACCCACAGCGCCCCCGCTCCATCTCCCGGAGCGGGGCAGGGGCTGGGGGGGCACCCACCGCACTGGTTCTCGTCGGAGCAGTTGCCGCAGTCGCAGATGAAGTTGCAGAGCTCCTCGGCCGCGCTGCCGCAGCTGCGGGCACTGCTGGAGCCGCCGGGGGGCACGAAGCCGGCTGTGGGAGAGACAACGGCACTGCACAGGGCAGACAGAGGCAGCAGCGGTGCCAGCACACGGGCCCTGCAGGGGACACGGGGCTCCCAGCCTGGGACCGTGCTGGGGAACGCTGAGCTCCCAGTGGCTCCATTGGACAGGAACCCACCAGCGCCCCACAGCTCCACATCTGCTCTGCCGTATCCCACTGCCAGCCCTGCTCCCGCACACCCCGGGCGCCGCTGACCCTCCAGCCCGGCATATCCCACCCCATATCCCGGCAAGAACAAGAAATCTGCGCACTTTCTGCGATGCCCAAAGCCACCGGTGATTCCCGGCCCGGCCACTGCCCTGAGAACCCCCGGGCTGCCAGTGGAGCCCAGAGGAGGGTTTTGCTGGGCTGCATCTGTCCCGGCGCCCCGAACAGCGCAACCCCCCAGAGCTGGGGCAGCAGCGATCCCCATGGGAGCCCGGGCTGGGGGGAACGAAGCAGAGCAGCAGCTCCGTAGCCCCTTCCCTCCCACAGCAGCACCCCCGCGGCAGCACAGCTCACCCAGCAGCAGCAGGAGGGTGAGCACCTTCTGCCCCGCCATCTCTGGGCCACGGCGACGGTGAAACAGAGCTGGGAGAGGCATGGGGCTGGTGGGGGAGGCCATGCTGGGAGCCCAGGGCTGGAATCTGCTCCCCTGGACTTCAGCCCCACTGTTATCTGCTTCCCAGCCCCACAGCAGGGTTTATGGCCGGGCTGGGACAGGTCACCCGTGGTCCTGTTGCCCGGCACCACCACAGCATCACAGATGGTGAATGGGCAGCTCTGCATCCAGCCCTAGGAGACCTTATTGAACCATTCTTCTTCAGCCCCCCTTTTTTCCAACCAGGACAAGATGCTGGGTACTGCTCTGACCAGGACGGGGCTGGCTGGCACACACTGGCTCAGAGAGGGAAAAGGCCACTTCTTCCCACCAAGTCACTGATGCTGCCAGCTCAGGGAGAAGCTGGCACCTCTGCCAGGGGCCTGGGGCCATGATGTGCCAGCTGCTGGGCTGTGTCCTGTTCATCCACAGGAAAGAAAAACATGATAGTCTCTGAGCACAAGGAGCAGAGGGAGAACCTCTGGGTGAAAGGCACGGGGTGGTCAGGGATGACAGTTGTGCTAAAGGGTGGGGGGAATGGAGTGCAAGGAGCAACCCCAAGGCAGGAGAGGTATAAATGAGTCATGACACAGCCAGGCAATGGTGAGCTGCAGCAGGCAGGGATACTCAGGACTGGAGGGAGTTAGCCTTAAAAATGTTGAAGCTTTGAATTCAAAACAAAACTCAGGGTCTGAAGGTCTGGGACAGGCTGGGAGGGAAGGCAGGGACAGGCAGGACACATCCCATGGTGTTCCACAGGCTGACCCAGCACCCAGCTGAGCTGCCTTAACACACTCCAGCCCTGCTGATGGCAGGGAGGGGGGGCTCAGCCTGCCTGCTCCAGCCAGAGCAGCCTGGCAGACCCTTCCAGGGCAGTGCCCCTTCCCCAGGCTCTCAGCAGCATCATTCCAGCCATTGCCCTCTTCCCCAGCCCCAGCAGAGCCTCCTGCCACTGCTTCTGCAGCCCCTGTGCCTGAGGCTGGGCCCCTGCGGCTGAAGCTGTGTGTGGACGTTTCTCCCCTCCTGTCGATGGCCTTGGACAGCAGATTGCAGGTGATTGCATCACGTGCAGTAAAGCACAGGGTTCAGCCCTTCCCTCAGTGCGAGCAGGGTCGGTACCTGCACCCTCCAAGCCCCGTGTCTCGGGGCTGGCAGTGCCTGCAGGCAGGAGCCCTGCCCTTCCTCCAGCTGCCCGGAGCCCTGATGGGTACTAAGCTGACCTTAAGCAGAGCAGCCACCGGCCTCCTGGAGCATCTCCAGCAGGTCTGATCCCTCCCTCCTGCACTGAGGAGACACAAGGGGATGTTGTGGACCCCCAGGACAGAGACTGGGCTCCATTGGACTGGAGTGGACTGTGATGACAGTAAAGGGACTGAGCTTCCCATGAGGTCAGGCTGAGAGAGCTGAAGCTGCTCAAACTGGAGAAGGCACGGGAATGTCACCCTTGTGTATAAAGACCTGACAGGAGGCTGCAGAGAGGAGCTGGCTCTGCTGGGGTAAAGGATGGACTGGACATCTCCAGAGTTGCCTCTGTGCAACCAGCGCAGGGCACTCAGCCCCCACCTAACAGCCACCAGCGTGGAGTGCACTCATGACTGCTGTGTGGCATTCACCCCAGCATGGAGAAGATGGTCAACACCTTGCAGGAGGTCAAATCTAGGCACAGCAGAGCTGTTTGTCTAGAGCAGGACAGCTTGCAAGGCTGGCGGGCACCATCCTTCACAGGAGACTGAGCTCCAGCCCTAAGCCACCAGCCGGGCAGCGATCCCACACCCCAGCCCAGCCCATGAAGCTCACCCTTAACCCTCATGATCTCCTTTTGAGTTTGGGGCAGGACACTGGGCACTGGGGCTGAGCCTCAGCAAGGTGTGCTGACCCTGCATGGCTTCATCTCCTGTCTAAGTAGCCCACATCTCTGATGGGGAAGACAGGGAGGCAGCAGCAGGCAGAGCAGCCAGGCAGGAGCCAGAAGCACAAAGGATTGTAATCTGACAAGTGACACGGGGCTGGGACCAGGGTGTTAAGGTTCCTCCAGTCCCAACCTTGTACGGGATGGTGATCAAGTGATCCACCTGGCAGCCTGACCAGCACATCTCCCTCAACTTCTCCTGGCACTGAAGGCTCCAGCAGCTTTTCCCAGTCCCCCCACCCTTCCCACTGGGAGTACAAGCAGTCTCCCTGGGCAACAATGAGGGACAGGAGCTAATCCTGGCTGTCCAGAGGGCTGCAGTCAAGGAAGATGCTCTACCTCAAGGTGTGACCACCTGATGGGGTGTGAATGAGCATGGTCTCCCAAGCTCCAGGGTAGCTCAGCTCTCTCCCAACAGGGGAAGAGGGTGGTAACCTTGCCCTCCCCTCCATCAGGCACTGGGAACCCATCACCTCCTCCTCCCCCTTCCCAAGGCTAATCCTAACATCCCCTCAGCTGTCCCCACCCCAGACCCTGACAGCTCCAGGGTCAGGCCCCCCCTTAGTGGCTGGAAATCTGGGAAGTCACTCCTGTTAGGAGGGGCTACATCCCAGACCAGGAAAAAGAGCAGACCAAGCCATGGGCGCTGCGCTGTGCTGCCCAGTGTGTTTAATTCTCACATACACATGTGGGACAAACCCCGTTGCCACCGGGGACGTCGGGGCAGGGCACCCACCAGCTTCACCGAAGCTCTGCCGTGCTGGGGAGGTGGGAGCACCCACCGGCACATGGGAAGTCCGGTGACAGTAGAGAACAGGCGAGTTCAACAGAAAGGAAAACCAGGAGAGCCCAGAACACTGGGAACCTGCTGCCACCACCCCAACACCGGGTCTGGCTGCACCAGCTCCAGGCTGGTGCCGCTGCTGCAGCCCGGGCACAGGAGTCAGTAGCCTTCATCTGCCCAGGTGATGTCGTAGTCTGGGTACTCGGCCTTCAGCTTCTCCGTAGTCACGGAGTGGTCGGCTCGCCCGAAGCCCTGGCAGAGAAAGGGGCCCCAGCTAGCGCCAGTAACACCACCCGCGGGGTCGCTCACGGCAACCAGAAGCTCCGGCAGCGGCCCCAGCAGCGACAGACGCCGCTGAGCCCGTGAACCACCGGTGGGCTGCGACCCCTCTGCAGCAGCGGTTCAGGCCACGGGCAGCTGAGCCCGGCCGCGGCTGCCGGACAGCGGGTGGTGCCACCCTGGAGCTGGGAAAACAGGCACCGGCATCACCGACACCCTCCGGCTGCCATGGAGACGCGATGTGCGCATCCCCGAGCGGGAACCCGCGCGGCATCGGCAGGAAGCGGCCGCGCCCACGGGGGTGTGAGACCTGTCCCGTCCCCCCCCGCACCCCGGCCTCGCTTACCACCGAGTATCCGTAGACGTGGATCTTCCTCTCCTGGGGGCGGTGGGCGAGCCGGCCGCCCCCCAGGCACTCGCATTCCAGGCCCTGCCGCGCCAGCTCCGCCGCCGTTCGCTCGTAGATGTCGGCTGCGGGGAGAGGGACCGGTGGTGCCGGGCACGGCCGGGCCGGGGGGGGGGCACACATCGCCCGAGCCCCAGGAGGAGCCGCGGCGCGGGGCAGCCCCGGTACCGCGGGTGCGCGCGCCCCTCACCGTGGTACTCGGCCCAGCCGTGCCCGCGCACGACGTCCTTCCCCGGTGCGCCGGGCGCGCGCACGCGCACCAGCACGTACTTGAACACGCCGTCACCGTCGATCTCCACGTCCCGGACCCCGGAGAGCGCCGCCGCCATCGCGCCCGCCCCGCCCCGCGCCCCGCCCCTTCCGCCGCCGCTGCCAACCAGCGCCCGGCACCGCCCACGGGTGCCCGCCCACCGGCGGGGCGGGGCCTTGCCTGCCGCGGGTACCGGGGCGGAACCGGGGGGGATTCTCCGGCGGGCGCGGGGCCCGGCCGTGGGGCGGTGCGAGGGGCGGGGCTGGGCAGGGCCATGGGGCAGCCCCGGCCGGGCGGCCAAGAGCCGGGCCGTGCCTTCGACAGGCTCTGCCCTGCGCCGGTGCCCCGGCACCTCCCTGGGGCAGCCCGAAGGCCCTCGGCCGCAGTCAGATCCCCCCCCCCCCATGCGGAGCCTTCACCTGCCCGGCCCCACACGCAGCCATGGGTACAGCCGGGACTCGCCGCAGCCCCCGCCCTGCCTTACGGGTTCCCGGGGGCATCCGCGGGTGCGTTACAGCTCCCGCGCGGGGTCCCCGCTGTACCCGACGATCACGCAGTGTCGTGCTCAGGACGCAGACTCGAGGGAGCAGGGACCTTGTGGCACTCGCTCCGACCGCAGACCGCACCAGTGCATCCCTGCGGGGCTGCCAGCAGCACCCCAGGCTCTGCACGGCCCCAGGACGGCTGCGGTGGGTCCTGGGGCGCTGGGTGCAGGCAGGCACAGGGGCTCTGCTTGTGCAGGCAGCCAGGCTGGCCAGTGGGCAGAGGCTGGCGGTCCTTAGGGTGCCCTCTCTCTGAGCAAGCATCACTCACCCCGAGAGGGCTCTGTGGGGTAGTGCCAAGGGGCTGGCTGGGACCTGTGCCCCATGGCAAACCTTGGCCAATGCTCCTGTGCCCTACAGCACCCCCACCTGCAGCCCCCCCCAACGAATGCCGGCTGCCCGCAGCCTGTCACAGCCTCCTCCTCCCCTCCCTGCCACATCTGAGAGGGTCCCTGTCCCACCGTGCTGACAGGGCATCACCTATCTACAAAGGGGTGTGAGCCGGGGGGGGGGGGTGAGCTGGAGGGGTCCCCACCCCATGTTTACATGATGTCATCCAGGAGGTTGGGGCTGGCCACCCAGTCGAGTGTGCGGGGCTCGGAGGCTGCCATGATCATGCACATGAACTGTTTGCCTGTCCTCTTGTCGATGGGGTAGATGGTGGTGGGGGTGAAGCGCTTGTTGCTCTCCACGAAGTCGCAGAGCTGCTCGTAGACAGCGGGGAACTCGTGGCGCAGGAAGACGCCGCGGATGCGCAGCTCGCGCTGGATGTTGATGAAGCAGACCTCCCGTGCCTTGCGGCCCTCCTCGCCCTCCTTGTCGATATCTGCCGTGCCAGGGGGAGGCGTCAGGATCAACGTCTCCATGTCCCGCTCCTTCTTCAGGATCTTCTTCTCTGGGCTGGAGGAGGCTAAGGCCACCTTGGCGTATTTCCTGACCGTCGGCACCTGCATCTTTGGCGATGGCTTCTCCGGCACTTTTTGGGTGACGGCCACAGTTACATTCAGGAGGAAACATTCGTCGGGGTCGTACTGGTTGCCCGTCTCCCGCAGCTCCCGGGCATACTCCCCCAGGTTGTCCGAGTAGCTGTCCAGCTCCCGCAGGGACAGGTAGGTGGGGGACATCAGCAGACTCTCCAGCCCGAACTGCAGGAAGTTCTCCGCTGAGCCGGCATTGGGGAAGCCCAGGAAGAGGACACCGCGGCCACGGGAGAGGTAGCCCACCTTGGCGATGCGTGAGAAGGCCTTGTGCACCTCGGTGTTCTCACGGCAGAACTGCAGGACATGGCGGCAGACGCTGCCCACCCGCCCATAGACACAGCTCTCCTTGTGCGTGTCCCAGTCCTCGCGGCGGCAGTGCCGGGAGCAGTAGTAGGTGTAGCAGCTGTGGCACGACTTGAAGTAGAGGCAGGCGTTGAACATGGTCTCTGTCCGCCGGCACTTGGCATTGGAGCACATCATCATGTCATCCTCCTCTGCGCTCAGGTCAGGCGAGCAGTTGTCCGGGGACTTCTCGAAGGTGCCGGCAGGCACTGGGGCAGGCGAGGGGCGTGGGGCACTGGTGCGGGAGCTGGGGCCCGGCTGCTCCTTTGTGGGCCGGGGTGCCTCGGATGTGCCAGGAGGACCCCTTCTGCCCTCGCCTCGCCGTGGGGGCCCTGTGGCACTGGTGCCCAAAAGCTGTTTGAGCTGCTCAGCAAGGCTGTCCCTGTCCCCGGCCCGGTGGCCCGATGTCGGCTTGTAGTCGATGACGAGGTCAGTGATGAGCTCGTCCAGCTGCTCCAGGCTGCGCTGGCGCCCGGAGCTACTCTCCCTGGGGACGGGCTGCGGGGCACTGGGCGCAGCATAGGGCCCGTGCTCCCGCCCCCCGTCCAGCATGTCCCAACTAGCCGAGCGCCTCTCGCTCCTGCCCATCCCGTCGGCGCGGATGTCGTTGTCGGTGATGGTGATCTCCGGTGTGACGTACCAGGAGCGGCCTGGGGGTCCGCGGCCACCATCGGCATGCACCCTCTCAAGGATGGAGCTCTCCGAGAGGGACAGGGCGGCGTAGCGCTTGGGCGAGCTCGACAGGTTGATCACCACCGGCTGGCGGCGCTCCTCGGGGGATAAGGCACGGTGCTGCTCCCGGGCGAGCAGGTTCTCGTAGCTGCGCCCGCGCTGCAGGACCTCCTCCCTGTGCACCGCCGGAGCCAGGATGTTATCCCAGGACTTAGAGTAGTGCTGGGTCTCCCGGCCCAGCCGTGCGGGGGTTACTCCATAGCTGGCGTGCCAGGAGGAGACCATAGCCTCGTGCCCTGCTGGCTGGGGGGTGAAGCGCGACACTTGCAGGGTCTGATAGGGAAGCGCAGCCCGCTTGGAGCCGTACCAGTCACTGAAGTGCAAGGGCTGCGCGCTGCGGGGCGGGGGGCACGTCCGCGACATCATCTCCCGCTCCCGGTATTTCCCGTAGTCCTCGGCATAGAAGACCCGAGCCGAGGAGCCCAGGGCTGGGTACGTCCGGGCGTCCTCAGCATAGAGGGTTTTTACCGGGGTGCCGCGAGGGGGGTAAAAGCGGGGCTCATCTCCGTAGAAGGAGCGGGCGGGCGCCTCCTGCACCGGGTAGCCCCGAGGCTCCTCCACATACAACGTCCGGGGTGGCACCGTGTGGACGGCGGCTTTGGCCGGGTCCTCGGTGTAGAAGTGCTGGGGAGCAGCGTGGCGGCCGGGGTAGGGGTAGCTGGCGTAGCCGGAGCTGCGCAGAGGCATGGCGGGGCTGGGGCATCGCGCCGGCTCCTCCGCATAGAAGAACTTGGCGGGGACGCCAGGAGCCGAGAAGGTCATGCAGCCCCTGTCGGGGTATTCCCTGAACTCCCGCGAGGCCGGCACCGGCACTGTCTGGTACGCCAGTGCCCGGGGGTCTGCCTCGTAGTACTCTCCGGGATAGGGCAGGAACGGGGGGTCCCCGCTGTAGGAGTCGCTGGGGGTGGGCGTGCGGGACGCGGATGTCTGCCGGCCTCCCGGCACCGCCAGGCTGCGGGCAGGAGCGCGGGGCCAGCGCGGCGGCTCCTGCCGGCCCTGCGCTGCCCGCAGGCTGCGTGCTGCGTGCACCAGCACCGCCTCGTCCGGCTTGATGTCCACCCGGCACTTGACGTGGGGGCTGGCCCCCGCCTTGCCGCCCGGCCCCTCCTCGAAGCAGTTGCTGCCCAGGCAGAGCGGGGAGATGCGGCTGACGCTGCTGCGCTGCGGCTGCAGCTTGATGGGGTGCACCTCGTTGGCCATGGCCCGCAGCGGAGCCTGGCTCTCGCGGCGCGGCGAGGGCTCGGGCCGGGAGGGCTCCCGGGCCACCCGCAGCACCTCGCGCCCGCGCCGGGCCGGCGGCGGCGACGCCGAGACCGCGATGGGCACCGGGGTGAAGGTGGTCTTGACCCGCGGCGCGCTCTTGGAGCGGGCACGGCGCTTTGGCTCGCTTCTCGGTGCCGGGGCTCTGCAGGCGTAAGGGTCCGGCTTCGGGGGCACCCGCCTGCCCGGTGGCCCTGGCGTGGGCTCGGGGGTGCCGGGGTGCGGGCACGGGTGCTCCATGGCCGCAGGGGTGCCCAGCTGCTCCTCCAGCGACTCGTCGAAGTCAAAGCTCCTGCAGTGGCGCTTGTTGAAGGGCTGTGGCTCGCGGGGCAGGGACGAGGACATGGAGGCATCACATTGTGCCAGGGGCTGGCAGACAGTGGAATCCCTGGGGGCTGCGGTGGCCACCTTTATGTCTTGGTACACAGTAGACACGAGGATGTCAGGTGGGTCTGTTCGTGTCATCTTAAAAGCGACTATTCTCCTGCCAGCTCCCCTTCAGATGGCCTCAGAGGAAGGAAGCCGGCCCTGCAAGAGAACAGACGAGGTGCCTGAATCCCAGCGGGGACCTCGGAAGCCTTGACAGCACTGGATATATCCCCACAGCTCCTGGCTTGAGGGGGAGGTTTGGCCACATCCTCAGAAATGAGGGATCGGAGACATCCCAGCCTCTGCTGCTGCTGTCAATAGTCACATCCCAAATGGGGGAAAAAGCTGGAAAAAGACTCCGATCCAATTTGCACCTCCATTTGGGGTGCAAATAACAGAGGGGATGGCAGAGCACCCATGAGTGCTCCGGGCAATGCAGGCAGCAGGGCGGTGTGCCAGCTCACTGCAGGAGAGGAGGCCACCAAGTGCCGTGCCCTGTTACTGGGGTGCAGGACATGGGGACCCTTGTGCAGCATGACAGGAGATGGCAGCACCAGGGGTTTCCACAGCAAATGGGAAGCACATGCCTGACTCCCCACCCTGTGACCATGTGTCCCCATATCTCAGCACATGCTGTATCAAACACCAGCAATGCAGGGAGCACCACTCCAGGATGGGTGCCATGAGCACCCACTGTGGTGACTGTGAAGCTCACAAGAGCTCTGGGGCTCCAGGGGTGCAAGAAGCTGTGCCCACCATGGCCCACAAACACTCCTGCAGGGTGCCAACAGTCACAGAATCCCATCCTGGTTTGTGTTGGAAGGGATCATAAAGTTCATCCAATTCCAATCCCCTACCATGGGCAGGGACACCTTCCACTAGAGCAGCTT